TTGCTTAAAGGTTTAAAACCGAATACCATTTTACTTTGAATAAAATTTTCTAGTTACATATTTATTTATAACCGCACAACTAGGAAAGTTGGAAATCTCTGCCTTCTAACTCACTTCTTTTGTTGCTTTTCTTGGCCTTTTCTCACGATAAAAAGTACTGAACTATTTATTTTCGTGAAGATAAGCACACTTCAATGGATAGATTAAAATCCTTTCTGTGTTTTTCCCCATTCTCAAGTGGGAAAAACGAATATGGGGTTTCTCCCACCTACACATTTTACGAAATTAGTAACTACCGTTATGTTGAAAGAATGTTCCAGAGATTACTAATGTGAAACTATTTCTACCGAAAAGAAAAATAGCGATATATTATCTCCTTTCTTTTTGTGATTTTAATGTCACTTGCTGAGTAAATAAAAGTGTCGACGATAATTACATGCAAAGAATGGAAGACAAGTCAGACACAAGCTCATTTTTCATGTTTTACACTTAATACAGTGCAGACGTGTTTTCTTTCATTTCTGTTCTCCTCTGTATCGTACGTATACGTACTAGTGTATGAGTCATATGAATTCTGGGTATGTTAAATTTTTCTTAAATTATTACAAAATTAAACATTCCAAATGACTTATGATATATATATAATAATATGAGTACAGCACAAAAAGATCGTATATGTGGTGGAACTGACACACAACAGGTATTACAACAATTCTATGAAAATGAAAGAAGTACTATTTCATCGAAACGTCATCTTACAAATCATAGCCAATTTAATGAAGATGTATGTGACGGTTTTAACGATGATACTTATATCAGCAGCAAGGACGACACAGAACCAAAAAGATGATGAATGATCGGGATGATCGATTTCTAACTAGAACAATAACAAATTCAAACATAAATAATTCTACATGATTCGCTCAACCTGAGCTACAGCAAATTACAATAATACATATTTCAAACTATGCTTTAAATTATACATCTGATTATCACCTTCAGCCAAGTATAATTGAATGTAATCCAAGGCTTTTGATCTTTTGACGAGATGTGTTCGTTCTTGAAGAAGGAGCACATCTCGTCACTCTTTCAGCAACTACATTAAAAATGATTTTCTTACGCAAAACCCAATGTATCGAAAACCAATATAATTTGATGTCTGGTGGATTGATAGTCAGCGAAATCTTCATATAATTATTAAAAAAGCAGATATTTACATTTATTTATCAAAAATTGAACGTTATCCAGTTGAATTGAATAATATTAAATTAAAGCCGTATCCACCATCACATCTGCCGCCTCAACACACTGTTATCATTAAAAAGGTAAAGAATTCGATCTCCTTCGATGACATAAAAGAAGAGTTAGAAATGAAATATAAATCTTTATTTAAAATGGAAGAAATGATTGGAGCAATGAATGAACGAAATAGACATATTAAAATTGAAATTTCTGATAAAAATGAATATAATTCGTTCTTAAATAGAAGATACATTCAACTTAACACCGACGAATTCTTACCAGCTTCAAAGCTATTAATATGTTCTAGATGTAATCATCCTGGACATACAAAGAAATCATGTCAAAACTCAAACTATGATATTTGTAGAAGATGTTGAGGTGATCGTAACGATCAGCACAACCACCATGAATGCGAAATTAAATGTCGTCATTGTAATGGTCCTCATGTATCAACGGATTATAAATGTCCTGTTATTAATCAGTACAGAGGAGAACTAATTTATGAAGTAAGAAAGAGATCGGATAAACTACCAGACGATGTACAACTATTTATTCCATCCGAATATCGTAATTCAAATGAACGAAATAAGGTACTTTATAATAAAAAAACACAGCAACAAAAGAAGTGAGTTAGAAGGCAGAGATTTCCAACTTTCCTAGTTGTGCGGTTATAAATAAATATGTAACTAGAAAATTTTATTCAAAGTAAAATGGTATTCGGTTTTAAACCTTTAAGCAA